TTGTACTACCCGATACCTTAGGTAGACACCCCACCCAGTATTGGTGACTATGAAGGGTAAAGGCAATTATATTTGGGTCCTGTTCAATTACTCTTTTACCGCCAGTACAGGGTGGGGGGGTCCTCTCCTAACCTATCCTAAAGCCCCTAAACTCCTATAAACCCTAAACCCCAAGAACCCCAAACCGATTCCTCTGAGCCAGCGGCCCCCGACTTCTCAGCGAGGCTCCGGGTGGTCTCTTCGCGGCTCCGTTGGGCGTCCTGGCAGAACCCCTAGGGGTCCAAGTATAGGGTTTAGGGTTTAGGATTTTGGGCTTAAGTTTAGGGATCTAAGTATACAAATCGTACTGATACAAATGGAGAATCAAATGAACAAGAAAATGGAGAATGAAACGGAAACTGGGCGTATGAAGGGTCTACAAATATTACCTACATTGGGCTATTTGGATCCTGAGGGAAACGTTCTGAGGCTTTAGGGGCTGAGGGGCGTGGAGGTTTCAGGAGGGATTGAGGAGTGTGGAGGTTTTAGGGGTTGAGGGGCATGGAGGTTTTAGGGGTTCAGGGATTTTAAATTTTAGGCTGAGGCGATCAGAGGCTTAGGGGCTTTGGGGTTCTGAATTTGAGGGGTTCATAGGTTTGCAGTGTAGGGTCAAGGGAGCACGGGCCTTTGCTCAACAACAGGGTAAGCTGGCTAGCGAGTGAATTCGTGGTTTCGCAATTTGTAGAGAGGGCATATATGCCCAGGTCTCAGGATAACAGGAGAACGTGGGGCTTCTAAGGTGGGATGGGTCTCTGTTCGACGTCCCAAGAAGATACAACTTTGGGTATATAAACTACAATCATTACTCCAGCAACGACTCCAATGACAACCCTGGCAGCAAGAGCTGGCAACGAAAGCTACTTGTGAAAAAGCCATAGTAGCAACACTCCAGCAACCCTAATTAGTATAACAACACCCATATGGCTGGTTTGCAACAGCACTGTCCCCATTGCCTTTCCCCAACATACTACCAGGGGGCCTCAACAAGAGGCCAAACATACTAAACCCAGCTCCGTAGGCTCTAAACCCTACAACCCTAAGCCCTAAACCAAACCTTTTACTACTTCAGTGTCCTAGCAGAGACAAACTCAAGCTGCAGGATCTACGTGCAGGGTCAGGCAGACTTAGTAGTGGAAAGAAAATGGAATCTACCATGTTATTTAGGGTTTAGGGTATACGGTGAGGGGACTTCGTAAGTAGGTTAATAATTGGGATAACCGGGTTCTTAGTTGCCAAGCCCCCTTGACCCTTCAAGCCTAGCCTTCAAGCAGGCTGAGACTCAAGACATGAAAGCAAAAGGTTATCAAAGGTGGGTCGGGATGATACTCGGTCTCGCACATGTACCAGGCTTCCAGGTGACTTGCGATGTAACATCGTTCAGGCTAGTATGTTTGAAGCATCAGCTTTGTAGGTGGATAAACAACTTTTGGCATCAATGCACCTGGTTCAGTATGCAGGGCGGATGAGACTGCTCGGTGTTGATGTGAAGCCGACGCAAGCGCAGGAAGGCAGCACTACTCCCAATATGTGCTCAACTTGTCCTTGCACAGTACTCTAGCTGCGTTTATCGTGTGAGTTGTAGCGTGATGCACATTCGAGATTCGCCTGATAGGCTTTGCTCAACACCTTCCGGATGGCCAGGGAATCACTTTGTGGAGATCTCTCTGACGGGAGCACTACCAGGTCAATAGCCAGAGCTTTCACAATCTAACGACTGCGCGCGGCTCGAAACACCCCAAAACCTCCCCAAGTACCTCATTGGGTGCTTTTGACTGGTTGAACACAGGAAAACTGTACTTTTCTCCTCAAAATGCTATAGCCCAATGAAAGAATAAAAAGCACCTGTGCAATGTCGGGGGCCAAACTGAACCTATGGAACACCCAACATTTGAGTTCTCAGCTACAAAACCCCTTAAATCCTAAGCCCTAAACTGCATGGAAACCCTAAACCCCTAAACCCCAAGCCCTGTAAGCCCTAAACCCTATAAGCCCTTGAAAACAACTTTTCCCATGAAAAGCGCTGCGCAGCCTGGGCCAACTTTTCGTAAGCCTCCTGGGCGTCGGCCTCCTGCGTATCCATGGCCTGCATGGGTTTAGGGTTCAGGGTTTGGGGAGCTCGGGTTGAAGGGTCTGGGATTAAGGTTCAGGGAGTAGGGCCGATTGGTGTTTAGGCAACTACCGTAAGGTTTAGGGGTTGATATTTCGGCAATGAAGGTTTAGGCAAGTACGGTTCAGGCATACCCAGAGCCTTCAAATTTCTGGGATTCTCTCGCACGGGACTCCAAGGGACCCTATGCCCTAAGCCCTAAACCTGTATGTAGGGATATTGGCGTGTATGGAGTTTGGTTCATATGAACCAAGGCCCGGGCTCTTGTATTGGAGCCAGGTGGCACCCTCACCACTGATAGCAGTTTAGTGAATCTTATGGGGTTTAAGGGTTTAGGGTTTACAGCCGCGCGGGTTGTATGAAGCCTAGTATAATTCGTCCCCTTCCCTGTGTTCGCCATCAGTGGGTGTGAGGAGCAACCGACATGCACAGCCCAAGATGTCAATGGGATCCGTTTGCAAGGTATGTTTCTGGTCTGCAGGAATTGGGGGCGACGGGTAGGCTTGCAATCTCTCAACACATGCTTGGAGCAGCTGGCCAAGCAGCGCAAGGCCTACTGCTGCTGGCAGCAATCTTCATGCTAAAGTCCCGAATTTTTGCAAGGGAATATCAGTACTTGCTTTGGACCAACTGCTTTGCCCTGCAGTTTGCATTGCCAGCTACTTGCTTTTGTGGGTCTGTAGCTCACCTGAGTTCAGCCGCCAGTGCTTGCGTTGAGTCGCGGGATGCTAAGGGTGTAGGGTTTCTCTAGTATAGCGACTAAATGATGAGCGTGAAAGAATCACTACCAGGCTGATGTAGCCCACATTCTATAGTCCCCCTGAAGTAGATAGAATATGGCTTTGGATATATTATAATAAGATCCCCGTATTCATATACCCCATGTTCTGTCTACATAAGTGGGGCAATAGATTCTAGCTACCCGACTCTGACTCTCAATTTCCAGAACAGAACCAACATGACCTGGCAAAGAAGCTTGCCTTGCGCTCTTTTCCAAGGTCCCCCACCTCAGCGTTCAAAGCGCTGAGCCCAAGGAGAGGATAACCCTTATTATGGGGACCCACAAAAAGGTACGCCCCCATTTTGGGAACCCCCTAAACCAAACACCCCAGAAGATGGGTAGCTTTTTGGCTGAATGCTTTCCACAATGCTAGCAATAGCATGTGCCAAGGTTTGAGGTCATGCTTTGATACAACTGTTGAAGGCCGACTTGGAGGTTCAGGGAAATAACCGAATAAAAGCTACGCCCTTACCACGTTACGAGTACATATAGCCTGAACTTCCAAACACAATGGATCTGCGGAACTGGCAAAATGATCTTGGCCATTAAATTGCATGTGAAAATTACTGACTCTTCGGAGTTGGAGGAGTGGAACACCTGAACCCTCATCCCTAATTGCCAGCCTTCAAAGCCTAATCCCCAAACCCTGCCCGCATATGAGCTGTACTCTACACTCATTAATGGAGGTTATATAGGGGATTATATAGCGGAGTACTATAGGGGATATAAGGGGGATATTCGGAGACGGACTATAGCTCATGTAAACCCTTATCTCAAAACCCCAACCCCAGGAAACGGAGGTGCTCATTTCAAGCAGGAGTTTGCCTCTCAATCTCGGATGCGTTAGGGATGCAGTGCAACTTAGTGAGTTTACGGGGTGGGGGGGGGGGGGAGGATTGGGGTGGGCGAGCTTCATGATTTATAGCGTTGAGGGTCAGCAGTTGTTCAAGACTACATACGGACTACTGACTACTGCAGGGAGCCATTGCTCCATTCCCTACTTGCCGTCCACAAGCCTTCGGGTACCAATTCCTATAACTCACACATTGCTATTGTCCCTGGGCGATTCCCAAATTTAGGGGTACCTTTTTGGGGGTCCCAGATTTAGGATCATAGTCTTTGGGGCTCCATAATATCGGGGTCCCCCTATTAAGGGAAACTACCGTTTCCGGCTATTCAGGCATCTGCTTTGGGGTCATCGAGACCGACGACGGAACCTACAGCTTGACCACGGCTACTCCCAACCTCCCAACTACTCGGAGACGCTAACCCTAGACGGGGTTATACAAGCGGTGTACATGGATCCAGGTATACAAATAATACCTATATTGGGCCCTAAAGTCTGTACATGCTACCTACATCGGGCTAGTTGCATCCCAGGGGATTTTACCCACAACACACCCGCAGCCTGCACTCACAATATCCGTTCTATTTTCCTGAATTGCTCCATTCTGACGTTGCAGCGGTTAGAAGGAAGCGCATGAATCCCACAATACGTAGCCCCTACACAATCCCCAACAATTACATCCTACGTTTCTTTATGCCCTGCAAACCACCCTCAACCCTATGTGGGGGATAAATCCTAAGCCCCAAACCCTAAATCCAATCCCTAAACCCTAATCCGAGCCCTAGGCGATGGTGTCCAGCATGGCCGTCACCGTGGAGCCTGACTCCTGTTTCTCGTACTTGGAGAAGCCCTGCCAGCAGGGACTTACCAGTGCTTCAGGGGAACTGGGGGAGTGGATCCCTACTGCGCACCTACAATTATCCCGTAGAGCCCCCTGTATAGACACCGTCTAAGCACACACTGCAAAGCATATAGCAATGCATAATCCACAGCACGCCGCAGCTCTGAATAGTTGCTCAGCTCGCGATTTGTCATCTGATAGTGATAGTGCCTGGATGTCTCCGGCCTAAAAGAGGTGGGAGTTTCCCAAAATTAGGGGGTGCTTTTTAGGGTCTCAATACTAAGGACTAAAAGCATTTTGGGATCTATATTGGGGTTCCCCTATTTTGGGAAACTTCCAGGTGGCTTTACCACATCCTTCAGATGTAGGCAAGAGCGCATTGTAATCATTGCCAGAGCATAATGCTCTTGAGGTCAGCGACTAAACCCACTTCGGGGTTTTGAGGATAGGCGCCGACTAGGGAAAAGAAGACTCCAGCGTGGAGGACAACACATAGTGGAAAAGCAATCTGCAATCCCACGTCCAGCCGTGTGGACAATGGAGCTGCCTGTGAAAAAGGCGTCAGAACCCAGGGGAGCGGCTTCACCCTCACCCTGTATTTCCTCAGGTGTCCAGTCGAACCCTTAATCCTAAACGCTGTGCCCTAAACCCTAAATCCCTAAAACCCTAAACGTATTTCATTAGGTGTCCAGTACCTAGGGCTCCTTCAGAGCGGTCCTTGTGGCTTAGCTTGGGCTATGTAGCGCGTCTAAACCCTAAGTCCCAAAAAGTCAAAAGTCACCCACTTAGCAGATAAGCTTCTCTATGTCCAGTAGAAGCTCCATGAACAGTGAAAAAATGATGCGCACTTCGCTGACGTCGCCCGGGGTGTCGAAGCCCTTGTCCCGAAGAAACATGCACATGATGCTTGCGGCATCATTGGTAGTCATGTAGATGTTAAACCTTCAGGTCGCCAAAGAGCCACATGTTAGGGTCTCTTAGGTCCCAAATACCTTTCAAATTATGATATTCAGGCCTTAGAAACCAATTTGTTGAGTCCTTGGACCCTTAAGGAATGGCAGCGGAAATGGTAACGTCACAGTTGCAATAATAATAAGGGTTTCATTTTCGGGGTTTCTATACTTGTGTTGCTTCGGCTTTTCATTTATGGTCTCCCCAAGTGGGCATGAAACAGGTACACTCAGCAACATGCCGGAGGATTCCTACTTCTACTCACAAACAAAATCTCACAAAAACAAGGACCTAGCTCATAACATGGCGGGGCGCCCTGACTGTGAACCTCCTGTTAAAACCCTACAACTTGAACCCTGAAACCCTAAACCCCTAAACCCTGAACCTTGAACCTGAACCCTGAACCTTGAACCTTGAACCCTAAACCCTAAAACCCTAAACAAACCCTAAAGCCTACATCTGGGAGCCCTGACTCTCAACCCCCAACCTGGTCATGACCTTTCGAATCATCTCTGGAGTGGCTGTCGGTTCTGGCACCTCCTAGTCTGGGTTGCTATTAAGGTTTAGGGGGTACAATATTCTGGCTATGTAGTACAAAATGGAGGTTTCATTACTATGGTAACTTAATTTAAATTTCTTAACAGCAACCGAGTATTGTTTTCCAAGGGCCCCAGCGATGCCTCAGGGAAACACAGGGATTGGTCTATAGAGCTACTTGTCACCCTAGGGATCCAAAGAGCCCACATAGTACTTTTAGACTTTAGGGCCCAATATAAGTAATGTCTGTATACTTGGATCCCTAGGGTTAGGAATCATGGAAGGCAGAGTTTGAGAAACACTCTCCTCATGCCAAAGGTTGAGCAAATAGCGGATAACTTCCACGTCCCCCTCGGTAGTCTGTTTCTTGTTGATGGGGGAGTACGCGGTGTTTCGCCTGACGTTGAGAGCGAAGTGCTCCTCCGTCCTTACTGGTGCTTGAGACACAGTGGAGGGCTGGATCCCTACCATCCCGGTTTGGGGTTTAAGGTTTAGGGTTCAGGGTTTAGGTGTTTGGTTAGGATTAGGGTTTGGTTGGGGGTTTAGGGCACAAACCCTAAGGATCCAAATAGCAGCATCCAGGTAAATTTATGGAGTTCAGTAAGTAATGTTTATCGACTTTTGGGCCCAATGTAAGTATTATCGCCTATTACCACCTCCTTTCCACCTGCAGCAGCAAGTGTCTTTATTCCAATTGCCGCCGGGTCTTCCTCCAGCAGGGGATCCATGGTGGACTCGTCAGCTGTGCGCGGTGATTGTGGCCACGACTGCATTGGTGACGTGGCCGTGTGTTTCGTTGAGGATGTCCTCGACCATTCACTCATGGATAAGCCTCGCTCCCGCTTGGGCTCACTTTCCTGGATTGCTGCCAAGGAATTTGAACTAACTTCGCATTACATGCGGATATACGTGTATGTGTATATACATATATATATACATATATGTAGCGAACACTATAAGTTCATGGGAATGATAACTTAGGTTGAAGATCCTTAACAGCAACCCAGTCTCCTGGTTGGCCATGTAAGACACCAGTGTCCCGTCGCCCATCTTCTTCGGCACGTAGTCGTCAAGCAGCAAGGCAACAAGCTTCTCCTTTAGAAGCCCATAGCTTACAGGTGGGTTTGGGGTTTAGGGTTTGGGGGTTTAGGGTTTAGGGTTTTCCATAAGCTTGTTATACAACTCCTATAAGGTACAGGGGTCTTGAAGGATTCCAGGGTTGTACCCCTAAGGTCGTTCCCCTAACTGGTTTTCCTAATATGGCCCCAGTATAACCCTTGTATTCACCATTGTAATCCCTTGCATTCCCTAAACGGATCCCCAAACCCAGGGGTACAACCCTAGGGGTACAACCCTAGAACCCTTGAGGTCTTTTGGGAGTCCTAAACCCTAAACCCTGAAACCCTAAAATCCTAAAACCCTAAACCCTAAAACCCTATAAACCCTAAAACCCTAAACCCTGAACCCTAAAACCCTAAACCCTTGTCAATCCTTGTCGTTGGACTCCTTAATGAGCTTTCTCGCGGTCTGTTCAACCTGGGATACTCTTAAGGACCTCAAAGCAAGTTGCCAGTATGAGGTAACCCCTGGGTTTAGGGTTTAGGATTTAAGGTTTAGGGTTTATTGTTTGGGTTCAGGGTTTAGGGTGCCTAAAATTTAAAACCCCAAATCCCACTCCAAACCCCTAAGGACTATAGGGGTATGATATTGGGGTTATATAGGGATAATGGAAAAGAAAATGGAAACTACTATAATGCAGGGGGCCCAAATAATTCCCAATATCATTTTGAGGTCCATTTGAGATTCCATATACTATAATTATACAAGGAACATGGAACCATATTATTGGTAATTATCCCTAAGCCCCAGGCCCTAAACCCTAAATCCTAAACCGCACAACCCTAAACCCTAAAACCTAAAACCCTCAACCCTAAGCCTTAAAGCCTGAGCCCTAAACCCTAAAGCCTAGAACCCTAAACCTTAAACCCTAAACACCATGAAAATCCA